GATGCAAAAATCTGCAATGGCCAAGTTGAGGTTTTCACAGACTATAAGGATAATTCAATATATGGAAATTTATGCACATAATATACTATATTTATGTCATAAATAGAAAAGAAAAATATGGTCATCTCGTTACAGTCTGAAAATTCAGCTCTTAATCCTAATAAAAAAATTTAAGTATAGGAATAAAACATACCGCCTTCTCTCACAGACTATAAGGATAATTCAATATATGGAAATTTATGCACATAATATACTATATTTATGGCATAAGTAGAAAAGGAAAATATGGTCATCTCGTTACAGTCTGAAAATTCAGCTCTTAATCCTAATAAAAAAATTTAAGTATAGGAATAAAACATACCACCTTCTGGTGATGAAGAGTGACTTTTGTAAACCAATTGCCAAGAGTAAAATACTAGAGTCAATTTTATAATATAAAATAGTTTAAGAATTCAAGCTAACCCAATAAGACATGGAATCAAAATAAGAAAAATAAGTATTGAAAAAAAATCAGAAAACAAATAGAATTACTTTTTCATGAATTATTCATTTAATAATTTTTATGTTAGCAAAAACTTAGTAAAGCACAGGAATAGTATTAAAAATGAATAATATTTCTATAGGGTAACAAAACACGTTAGAAAACATTACACTAAAAGATACTACTCATAATAGCATCAAGACAATTTAAAGTACCAAAGAAATAAATGTTAGCAAGAAATGTAAAGAAGCAACGAATCTATTTGAAAGACGATGGAAAACTTGAGTCCCTTGGAAGCCATACCCTGTTGCTGGATAGAAATATAGCAGTCTTGGCTTTGATTAGGATATATCCTGAGACCTTCTCAATTGCCCATATTTGCAAATACTACAATGGCAAATAACTTTCTTTGTAAAGTTTAACCAAAAACGTAAGCAGCTCCCCAGCCCCTGCATGAAGCAAAGTGGGGTGCAGGGAACACCAACCTCCGGCTGCACCACTGGTTAAAGTGGAGGCAGCAAACAGGACAAGGTGGTGACATTATAGAGAAGGTGCAAACAGATAACAAAAACCCCAATGTGCCACAATAAGGGAGAGTTTCCATACACATGATGGTTCATCTCCTTTTAAAGAAATGGCAGAGAGTCATCAAAAATAATAGTTACAACTATACAGCAAAATGGAAAATACTTGTATAATTAAAAAATAGGAGACATAATTATAAGCATGTTATTAAAGCCATGTGAAAAAGACTATGCATTTGAAAAATAACTGGAGGCAAAAAATAAAATTGATAGCTGTGGTAGAACTGGGGGTGGCTTTTGTCAAATTGTATTGAAAACACATTTAAAGTGATTTTTAAGCAATAAAAGAAGCTGTGGCATGAAAAAGAGTGTTTAAATAAACATACCTGCAATATTGCCTGCCTGGTTAGAAGGAACTACCAACCAGCCGAGAGCGCCTCATCTCCAGGAGGGCTTAACACAGACTGGACTGCACCCCCTCAGGACTGGAGATGGTAGGGGGCTGGACAGAATGATCATTCACCTGCTTTTAAGTCAACAATATTATAAATAATGTGGTCCTGATCATCTCTGTGCCTATCACTGGGTTATTGAATAATTATCAGAAGACTTTTGTGTCAAAATTTCAAAAGTGCTTTACCAATCTACTTTGCCTAGCAGAAGATCAGTTTTATTGCATCCTAGGCAGCACTGGGTACCATGGTACATGGTAACAAACCAGTACCATGGTTTGTTAGATTAAAATCATCAGGCAAAAATTATGTGAACTTTTGAGACATTAAGATTTTTGATGAAGTCTAACCTTGGCTATTTTATTCCCAAATATTATAATTAGATAACCCACTTTACTGGAGCATTGTTGAGCATTTTGGGACCAAGATGACTACAGAAGAAATTCGCTGGCTACTCTGTCATCCACAGGCTGGGGAGAAGATTGTGGAGAAAATTGGTTTAGAAAGGTAATCCTAGGAAAGGGTGGGCTGGGGGAAGTCGCCAGAATGTGAGTCCATGAGGGAAGGGATTCAGGCTGTTATGCTCACAAACATAACCCCAGCCTCTAGAAAAGTGTCCAGCATGGACCTGGCACTCAGTAAGTATTTAAACGAAGGAATAAAATCTGATTGTTAATGTCCAAATTTTGTGGCTGTACTTCTGGGAAGCAAACTTCCTAGCGTGAAACATACAAATGTGTTCTGATAATGTTGGCTGAATAGTGGTTCATGCTGTCTCAGTTACCTCCATGTGCAATTGGAGAGGTGCAGAAGGAAGGAAAGGGATTTACACATCGTGAAAACGTCTTAGCAAATTAAAACCCCTTGGTAAGCACATTAGTGGGTGCCCAGACACGTGGCCTATTGGGGGATGGACTCCTAGAAGCAGAATTTGCTTCTTTTTGCACAACCCAGGAATACTCTTCCTTGGCCTTTCTCTATCCTCTCCAGAGCCATGTGAATGTCTAGGTTTTGACTTGAGTGTTCAGACTCTCCCATGGAGGTTGGCTGCAGCAGCACACTCATATTCAAGTCTGCTGCCCAGCAGAGACTGTGCTCACTCCCGCTGGAGCATCCATATGGTTCTGTAACATGAGCTGCAGGGCAGTCGAGCTTCTCAATTATAAACTCTCCATAGGTCATGCAAGCAAGCGTTGCACAGGCCATTCTACCGGCCACGTCCTTGGCCCAGCCTCCCTCCACTGCTCTCTCTCCCATTTCCACTCTCTGGATTCCTCCCCACAGCTCCCAAAAAGTCACTTGCTTTTGCTGCTGGCTGATGAATCCCACCTAGACTAAAGTTAATTAGGTCACTTCCAATGTGTCAGCACAATGGTCATCTCTCCTCCTTTGGTAAAGACAGAGAGATTTTTTTCCTTTCTCAGGGAATATTAGCTTCAACCAGTGGTTGAGGCAGACCAGAGGCTTCTGGGAAGCTGGAGTCCTAGGTTCTTACCCTAACTCCATCACTAACTGGATTGTACTCAGGAAAAGCCACTTTCTCCTTGGGGCCAGTTTGCTCCTCTGTAAAAGAAGGGGTTGGACTCACTGATGGCAAACATGTGGCAAATTACCACTTACCTTCTCAGTTGGGCCCAGAGAAAGCATCACCAGTCATCACAGTGTTCTTTCTCAAGAGCCTGCATGCAGCATCGCAGTTCTCTCGGCCTTCAGGTGCCCCTGCCAGCAGGAGCAAAGGAGCTCATGCCTCGTTGCCATCTGTGCGCCAGAGGATCCTGATGGGCCTTCCAGCTCTAACATCTCATAGGTTTAAGATTTAGGTTGGAAAGTGGACTGAAATCCTAGGTGTATGGAGATGTCCCGAAGAAAACACTGATTTAGCCTTTTTTAAAAGAGTGACTTGAAGGTGGGGAAGGCTGCCAAAAAACCCCTCCTGCTTCCCTGGGGAGGGGTCAGCTGGGCTGGTCCACCTGAGGCTGCTAATGACCTTGTCCAGGGAACAGAGGACTCTAAAGCCATTGTCAACAATTCCTTTGAGGTCTTGCTGTTGTATGGTCCAAGTATAATTTGCCCTATGAAAGTTTTAGAATCAAAACGGAGCTACACGTGTTAAAAACCCTGAAAAATACAGCCAGGAAAGGCCATGAAGGGAGGATTCTCACACATAAGTGCCTGATAACAAGAACTATCACAAAGGACTCTGCAAAAGCCACAACCCTGCACAAAGACCATCCCAACGTTACCCAAAAAGTACTTCTTCAAGGACATCAGCCCAGCAACTGCCTGTCCAACCTCAGACTGGTGTCACCCTTGCTATTGACCTTTACATCCAAGGGATAATTATCCCCAAATGATTATATAATCCTCCACCACTTTTCCTGTAAAAACCTTTGTTTTCCTTTATCTCCCTGAATATGTGCATAGTTTTCTATGGCACATGTATTCCCATTGCAATGCCCTGTCCCCAAATAAATATCCTTTTCTTTTAGAGAGCCTCTGTCTGTTATTTAGACTGACAGCCACAGCTCTGCCTTCTTTCCCACAGACCCACTCTCAATGTCCCTCAAACCCAAGGCCAATCTACTGTAGATGCTCAGCCAGGAGACAGATAGGAAGAAACCTAAGGGCCACACAAGTCAGCCTTTGTTACATGCTGTAGGAAGTGGTTCGCAGCATCCTGCACAGTCCAGCCATATCCACTTTGGAAGCCCCAAATCCTATAAGACAAATTTACTTAGGACAGTGTTTCTCAAGCAAAGACCCTGCAGAACTCTGGTGTTCCAGGAGCTGTACCAAATTGATTCAACAGGAAAACTGAGTAATGGTGATCTCTCTCTCTCTCTCTCTTTTTTTTTTTTTTGGTCAAAATAATAGGGAAAATTTGAGTTAATGGAGAAAATATTCTGTCATACAGTTTTTTTTTTCCTTTCCATCACTTTTTCTTGAGACGTATGTGCTTCTCCTACTTGCCTGTTAAATAAAGAGGTCTCACTGTTTCAAGCATGACCACCCTTTTGTTAAGAATCTACTTCTAGTTTTCAAAATACACACCACTGTCAAACTGAGTAACAATGAGCCCTTTCCTATGGAAGGGGTTATATTTGTTTGTCTTTGGAGATCCCCTCACATTTTGCTTTGGAAATGTAGGTTATTTTATGAACTTTCAAAAAATAATTATAATACATGACACAAAACTTAAAAGAAACAAAAGGGGAAACAGTAAAAAGTCAATCTCCCACAAACCTTGCTGCCTAATACTTAGGTCCCCTTCCTACAAACAACCACGATTTCTAGGTAAACCCCTTTTTAACATAAAAAAAAAAATCAAGGCATCTTCTCCGTACACTCTAACTACTCTCATTTTCCTTAATAGAATTGCTCACAACTTGTTGCATATGTATAAATTATAAATGCATGCATATATTTATACATTTAGTAAGAAAAGACTTGGTGACAAAAGTCAGTAATGCTTTTAAGTACATTTTATTTATCACATCAGCATCAACATATGTTTAGAAGTGAGCTGTCAGTGGATAAACAGAACAGTAAGCCAGTCTAGGCGCACACAGGGGTTGCTCAAACCATGCTCCTGCTACAAACACACAACTCCCCAGGCCTCCAGGCCACAGAGTGGACCCTCTGTGTGTCTGTGTCTGCTCCCTACTTTGTACCTTTACTCCTAGGGCCTTGCCTGCTGAATGCATGTGAGAACTCAGATCCCCTAGACATTTTTCGCCCCACTGGTGAACCTGTCCCAGAGTTGGGAAACTAATCACTTGACACGGACTGTCCACAGGGGTAAGGCCAATGTGCTGTACCATGTCCTGTGTGCAGAGCTGATGCTGCGTGAGAAAGAATCCTTGCCAGAGAAAAGTCTGTCAGAGGAGGAAAGAATGTTTCTCTCATATTTTCCCTCGCAGAAGTTTAAGCTGGAAAAGGATATCAGAGAACTTTACAACATTGCAGACCAAGTTGACACAACCCACAAGATGCTCACTAAGGTCCGTGTGGTGGCCAGCTCTTCAGGGGCTGTTTCTGGAGTCATGAGCATCCTGGGCTTAGCCCTAGCACCTGTGACAGCAGGAGGGAGTCTCATGCTCTCAACAGCTGGGATGGCGTTGGGGACAGCAGTTGCCATCACCAGCGTCTTAATGAATGTCTTAGAACATAGAAACAGCTCGGCAGCAAGAGACCAAGCCTGCACTGTGGCAACTATGACTACGACATTGGAGTACGAGGCTTTTGGAGGAATAAAGCTGAGGCCCTTCATGCCTACCAGGTGGTCAAAGCCAACTCTGGCTTCATGGCTAAGGTCAAGGATTTTGTGGCCACAAGCCGTGCCCCTTTCTGGAAGGCTGGAGGGGTGCAGAGAGCCTTTGAGGGCACAGCTCTGGCCATGACCAAGGGTGCCGGGTGGTGGGTGCTATGGGGGCGGGCCTCTGTCTTATGCAAGATGTGAACAGCATCCTGCAGAACTGGAAGCACCTGGAGCAGGGGGCGAGGGCAGAGGAGGCCAAGGAAGTGAGGACACTTGCTAAGGAGCTGGAGCAGGAGCTGAGCCATCTCACCCAGTGCTACCAGTGCCTGCAGCAGCTGCAGAGCCAGCCCCGGCCCCAGGGGTCCTGGGGCTCCCAGGGTTCCTAGGGTTCCAGGCAGGGCCATTCAAGGAGCCTGTGTGGGTGAGCCAGAAGGCAGGAAGGGCGTGAATAACACAGATACGGTCTTGGTCTTCATAAAGCATAACATAGGGGGGCAGGGGCACTAAACAAATAGACAAATACATAATGACAACTGCCCTTTCTTCAGAAAGAGGACTTGTCCCATACCCCTGACTTTAATTAGGTCCCTCCTGTTCTTTTCAGTATCCTGTTCTTTTCTCTCAAAGCACTGACCACACATTTTTTAAATCCCCTATTTGTATGTTTATGCATGCCCACCATCTGCCTCCTGTGGCCTGTCGGTTCCGGCGGACAGGGACGTGTCCATCTTGTCCACCCCAGCATCCCCAGCACCTAGCAGTGCATGGTGTGTAGCATGTGCTAGACATGTGTTGAATGAATGTGGCATTACATGATAAAGATGACATTCAAATGAATGGGGAAAGGATTCCTATTTTTTTGTATTTCTAGACTCTCCTTTGTAGAGAAATTAAATATCTAAATGTAAAAAATGGAACAAGAAAACTACCACCAGAAAATAAAGGAGAATTCCCCAAATCATCGATTTTATAGAGAGAATAGAATGTGACTGGGTAGCAAGGTCATAGCCTGAGACCTGGAAAAGGGACACATAAGCCTTTGCTGAAGATGTGAAGGCTCCTAAATTCATTCATTTGTTCATCCAGTGGATTTCAATTAATTGGGGACTGTGACAGGCCAAGGATTTAGAAGTGGCTCCAAACTTGTCTGCATGTTGGAATTCCCTAGGAACTTCAAAAAAAAAAAAAACTACTGATTAGTGGGTGCCTCCCACCCCCAGGGACTGGGACTTAATTGGTCTGGGCTTTGGAATTTAAAAAGATCTCCATGTTCATTCTGTTGTGCAGCTGAGTTTGGGAGTTTGAGGTGTGAGATGTTTTCGCTCTACAGCATTAATATCCTCTTACCTTTGGATGCATATTCTAGCTTCTCAATAACCAGGGGCAGATGTCTTTTTTGTAAACTAGGAGCCGCTCAGACTCATATTCCGAAGCGTCTCACCCACCTCTTCCCTTCTGTATCACAGAGCTCCTGCATAGGCCAGGCCCTGGTGGAGACCTGGGACACCACAGCAGAGAGAAGACAGTCTCTCCCCAAGGTGATTAGGGCCGGGGAGGGGAGTCGGGCCTCAGGGAAGCCATGAACAACGAGGAGATGTCAATGGGGTGATAGGAGGAGGCCAGGCGCTGTGGGAGCTCCTGAGGGGTGTACTTAGCCCTCTTCGGCAGGCAGGCCTCAGGGGAGAGGAGGGAGTACCTAGTGGGGCCTTCTGCCCCGCCACCTGTGTTCCTGGGCTGTGCCTCTGCCACTTGTCTCACTGAGCCCTGTCTGCATCGCCAGCCAGGTGAGCCATCCATTCATTAAGTGATGCAATGCACAAATATTCATTGAGCACACCTCTGTGTCAGGCACCGGCCAAGCTAGCAGTGAAGAGGACAGACAAGGACTGGGTGTGCACAGTGGACAATCTCGCACAGTCCTCTAATAGCTGGGGGCTCAAGCGAACCTAAGGTGGGATCCCTATTATATTACCAAAGTGAATAAACTATTTCCTTTCACTTTTTGCCCTGGTTGATCAAGATGTCTCCATGGAACCTTGGTTTAGCAGAAGCAAAGTACTAGTCTTCAATTAAGAAAATGTGGGGCAGGGAAACTTCTAGTTGCAGTCACGGAATCTGCAGCAATGATGGTTCGTGGTAACCCCTGGGGACCACAGAAATACTCAGGATGGAAAAGACATGTGCAAGAGACCAGATTTTCTATGTGTACACACCAAGAAGGTCTCCAAGACCTAAAATTCATGTTAATGAAAAGTGAAGCTGGGACACATTTAGGACTCATCTATTCTCCAAATGGAATATAACTAACTACACAGTACGTTTATGATTAAAATGAAAACAAAGTACACTATCCTCTCTGCTCCCCAGTCCTCTCCTCCCCTCTCCCCATTTCTCATTATGCTACAGTCACACCTTTAAGTGGAGAGAGTGATGCTCAGGCATTCCCTGTGCCCTGCAATGAAAAGTCAGTTATTTGAGAAAAGCGATGATTGTGAGAAAATTACTGTTATAGCAGCATAATTTATAATCATGAAAAATCGGAAGCTACTAAAATATTCCAGCACTAGGGAACTGGCTAACTATGACATGCTCGTCCTCAAGTAGAGCACTGTGCAGCTACCAACAATGATGTTCGCGAGGGTCAGTGACTGGATTAACATAGAAAATGTTTATGTTATCAAGCAAGGGGGGGAAAAAAGCAAGATACAATGTGAATATATACTTTCTCACCTTTTACCTGACCAGGGGAAACACACCCCTCAAACGTGTGTAGGAAAAGAAAGCCCCGGAGGTCACAATGCAGTTATTTTTAGTTAGAAGTAATTTTGGTGACTTTCCCCCTCTTTCCACCTTTCTGTATTTTTCAAGTTTTCTGTTATGTGAATTACTGCTTTATGAGATGGAAAGAATAAATATTTACATCTAAAGTTAAATAAATATTTTTAAAAAGAGGACCAACTTGTCTACTGGTCTTAATTGAGCTTCTTAAATTGCTTGAATGAATGCAAAGTCTCCTCCTCATCACTGAATGAGGCAACCAACAGTGGCAGGAGAACGGGTGTGTTTCCATGGGAGACCATCCCCATGATGTCAGCTGGAAGCCTGGGGAGCCTCCAATCCATCCATCCATCCATCCGTCCGTCCACGCAAATCCTTACCAAAAACCTACCATGCGAAAGGCATTGTTCTAGGCACTGGGGGTAAAACAGTAAACAAAACAAATCCTGCCTTCATGGAGTTTACAGTTCTCATGGGGGACACAGAAAAGAAACATACTAAAGAAGTAATATACAGTATATTACAAAGTAGCCAGTGTTAGGGAGAAAAATAAATCTAGGAAGGAGGATACAATGTTAAACAGGATCATCAGGGAAAACCTCTGGGAGAGGCTTATATTTGAGCAAAGACATGAAGGTGGGGCCACCGGCCGAGAGGATGTCTGGGAGAAGAGCCCTCCAGGTAGAGACAACAGAGGGGTGAGCACTGGCTTGGCCTGTCCAGGGAGCTGCAGGCGCTGGCGTGCCAGGAGCTGGGGAAGTGAACGGAGGGTAGGAGACGAGGTCGTAGCAGGAGCTGGAGGCCAGAAGGTACTGGGTCCCATAGCCCGTGGTAAGGACTTGGGTGTGTACCCTGAATGACAAGGGAACACACTGGAGGATTGCAAGAGGGTGACATAATGACAGAGACTTCAAGAGGGTCTCTCTGGCTGCTGTGTAGAGAACAGACTATAGGCAAGGCTATGCCAGGGATACCAGGTAGCTAGTTACCGAAACAGCACTCGGGAGAGAGGACAGTGGCGTGAACCAGTGTGGTAGCGACTGAGGTGACAAGTGGTCCGATTTTGGATATTGTGAAGAATAAGAACTTAGCTGCAGAATGTCACGTATCGGATTTTACTGCTGACTTGGCATTGCAGGGACTGAGGGAAAACTTCCTCTTCACCCCAAAGGTTCATTAATAAAAATCACTGGCAAATTTAGATCAATACGAAGAAAACTACGTTTTGACGTTAGAGGCCACAGGCTTTGCTCATGGACTGGATGAGTGGTGTGAGGGAAAAGATGGGAAGTAACACCAAGGCCTTAGCCTGAGCAGCTGGCCCAGTCGAGTCACCGCTGCCTGAAGTGGGGCTGGGGGTGAGGCACGTTAAGCTGGAGATGCCCAACACACGCAAGCAGAGGTGCTGAATATGGGGTGAGATATATGTGTCTAGATTCAAGATGTTGGACCTCCAGCAAGAAACTGGTCAGAGATACAAATGTGTAAATAGATGGTACGTAAAACTGTAAGAGTGGATAAGACTATTAAAAGAGTGAGCATAGGTACAAAAGAGTAGACATCCCAGGTCAGCACCTGGGGTGCCCAAGCTTGAAGAGGATGTGGAGATGTGGAGGAACCACCAAAGGAGACTGAGAAGGAACAGCCACCATGGTCACAGGGGAACCAGGAGTGGGTGTCCAGGAAACCCAGTGAAGAAAGCCTGGAGCAGATGCTGCTGATAGTTCAAGGACAATGAGGTCTGAGAGTTGACCTGACTGAGCAACACGGAGGCCATCAGTGGCCTTGACGAGAGCGGCTATGGTGAAATGGGTGAGGACAAAAAGCTTGGCTGGAGAAGGTTTAAAAGAGGGAGAAAAGACATTGGAGACTCAATAGGCAAAGCTATTGAGACTATCCAGAGAAACAGGACAGTAGCTGGAGGAGAAAGTAAGAAAGGAAAAAAAAAAAAAAGTAAGATGGAAGACTAGCATGGCTCAGTGCTGACGGGGGTGATCCAATAATGAGCAGATGGTGGAGGAACCCAGGAACTGGTCCCCTCTTTCAGCTCCCGGAGCCTGCGCTGAACTGCAGCCTGGACTGGAACCCCGTCTCTAGACTTTAAGCACTTGGCTGTGCCTCTGGGTCAACTCTGTCTTACTTCCCACACACTCCCAGCAAGATCCTTTTCAGAGGTACATGGTGTTGGGGTGCAGAAAGCTGTTACCCCCAAATATGGTGCTTTGACATGCAGGAATAAAGAAGCACCCTCAAGGTTTCTCTGATCTTCCCTCCTCTCCATCTCTCAAACCTCCGCCACTCTCTGAAGCACAGAATGAAGCTGTTCCCTTATCTGCCTCAAGTCCAGACATGCCAAAAAAGAAGACAATTACCTCTGGTCCTTTCCCTGCATTTTCATTGACTTAACTCATGTCACAGGAAGAAAGACTGGAGTCTGTCAACATGCCTTGACTGATTTTTGTCACAGACCATTCATTGTCTTATATTTTGGTCCCATTCAGTATTTTGAAGAAAATCACTTACCCATCATTGTCTGCTCTGCAGGCCCAACAGGCTTTGTCCCAGGCCACTGTATGTTCTCCAGGCCCATTGTGTCCCCCTAAGACTC